TGGTTATCAACAGGTTTAGTTGTAGTACTACTTTGGTCTTCATTGTCCCACACCCTCTCTCTCTCCACCACCAAACACACCGTCTACCAAATCCCACACCCTCTCTCTCTCCACCACCAAACAAGACAACCCATCACCCACCCCTCCAAAACAGCCCCCTGCACTCCAAACTCTCGGGCCAGCCTCTCACACCCAACCACACGCCCACGTTTTCGCCACGGACAACGTCTGTCCGGCCCCCACGGCCCACGGCCCACAGGGGTTGCGTTGCGTTGGCGTTGAAGTTGCTTGGGACTGGGGTGGGGGCACTGGACGGGGGGGTAAGGAATCCCTGCGGCTCGCGCGGGCGTATTGTACTGGTGGGTACGGGTACTCCAATGTAGTCGTAGGGTATGGCGTCCGACGGCCGATACAACCACAACCACACACTTCTAGCCCCGGCCTCTCCCACACGCCAGCCCAGCCTGTTATTTCTATATCAGCCATAGTGCTTACCTTGTATGAGGTGGTGACTGCCTACCACCATTGGCGACTCCCCTATCCCGGGTTGTCCGGGAGACACCTATTTAGGACTAGTGAAGGTATCTATATCTAGCCACCTTAGCTTCCACGTCTATAGATTCTTTAATTAATACTTTTATTATATTAGGTTATAAGCCTAGCTTATCTACTAGTATACTTAGCTTTATTTACTAGTACCTGCTTATATTAATTACTCTTTATTAGCTTCTACTACTTTAGCTACTATATTACTATAATACTATACTACTAATATAGCTTCTTACCTAAACCTATTTAGCTTATTACCTATATACTCTAGCTCTTTAGGATTAGCTTTACTAAAGGTTATAGCTATCCTATACCTAGAGCTTCCTCTAATAACCCCTCTCCTATAGTCTATACCCTTATTACCCCCTAGGCACACTATAGCTACTAAACCTATATTTAACTTTTACCTAGACCCTTCCTTATTACTTAAGCTAGGTTCCTAGGGTAAGAACTACCTAGAATAGAGGTTAGCCTAGACTATAGTATTTAGATATATAGGTATCTAGCCTATCCTATTAGGGAAGAAGTTAAGACTACTACTTCCTTTAGAAGCTAAGGAATAGGATAAGGCTAATAATAAAGTATTAATAATACTCCTATCCTCTATTTATAATAATTTAATAATAAGTATTACTAGCTATTGCAGGAGGGATATTAACTAGATCACGGAGCATCTTGATCCTAATTAATCCCAATCAATCCTGGTTAATACCCCTGTATAACCCACTATCTAATTAACTGCCAGCTTACTGCCAAGTGCCTAATAAAAAGCAGGAGCTCTAGTAAGGAAGGTTTACTAATTATTCACCTTCTAGTAAGGGTAGCTAAAGCTCTATATATATAAGTCTAATCGTAGTAGATATAATCTAATAATCTATCTCCTAAATTATTCCTAACCTTAGTAATCTAAAATTTAATAGTTATAAGCCTAGTTTACGCTTTACCTTATTAAAGATTATCCTATCTATTTAAGTGTATTATTTAACTTAGATACTAAGCTAGCAAGCTTTACTCTTTATACTATTTCTTAAGCAAAAGCTTACTTATTACTCTTCTACTATAAGTAACTAAATTCTAAAGGGGGATATCCTACTTACTAGATTAACTAACTAGCCTACCTAGTATATTTAATTTAGATACTATACCCTAACTAAAGGGATCTAGGTAGAGGTAGACCCTAAGGCTCTAGATACTAAAAACCACTTTAAGAATAAACCTATTAAGCCTAATATACTAATAGATATCGCGCTATCTAATATAATAAGCAAGCAGTACAAGCTCTAAATAGCTTAGTACTAAGCCTGCTTATTAGATTAGGTATTAAAGTTATTAGTAATCTAGAACCTCTTTATATAGGTTAATAATATAGTAGATTAAGGGATCCTTACCCTAGCCTATATAGAGCTTGTTAATTAAGGAAGAGTAACCCTCTAAGTACTTATCTAAGTGCTCTACAATAACCTAGCGCTAACTAACTTAAGTGCTGCAACACTAGCAAGATTATAGTATAAAGCTTATCTTACTAAGGCAAAGATAAGTAGCTAAGATACTAATTACTAGTAGAAGGAGTAGATAATCCTATATACGCGAGCTAAGGTATACAACGTTCCTAATATTAAAGGATAGCTTATAGTATAGGATTATCTTAAAGCTCTATCTACTAGGATCTTACTAGATTAGGGTTAAAATATATTTTAAAGGATTATTAAAAAGTTAGTAATAAGAGAGCTAACTTATAACCTCCTATAGGTTACTAAGATCTATTTATTACTTCTCTAAGAAAATAATATAAGATTAAGCTCTAAAGGTCCTAGAGTATTTGCAATAATAGGAGCTCCACCTTCTAATTAACCTAAGAAGGAGTCTTCTTGCCTATATAGTAGATCCTACCTATAGAAACCTCCTAAATATAAAAACATTATTAAAGCTTAGACTAATATAGGTAACAAGCTTACTACTACTTAATAATTAGAGATTAAGAAAAAGATTAATAGGAATCTAAAATTTAAAGAGTTAAGAAAAGCTCTAATTAAGTCCTATCCTATTAATTAAGATTATAGTAGTAAGGTAAGCATAATTACCTATCTAGGCAGTATCTAGGTGGCACTAATTAACCCTATATTAATAGCAGAGAAAACAAATAAGATCTATTTAACTATAGACTTTAAAGCTTATACTCTATTAAAGAGCACTATCTTTAATAATAGGGGTGCAGTGCACCTAGTTAATAATATAAGCTACCTAGAAGAAAGCTTGTTTAGATTAGTTAAATATAAGACAGTTAAAGCAGGAACTTAAGCTTTTCTAATCTTAGGTAGAGGGACAAGAGTAATCCCTAATACTCTTAATAGACTAAGAGGTCTAAAAATAGAAGATTTAGTGCTTACTAATATAGTATTAGTAGAAGGTTTTTATATAAATATTATATTAGAAGCTTAATTACTTAAAGCAGGAGTTTAGTTCCTTAGGCTAGATACTACCTTATAGTTTAGATTATTAGAAAAGAGCGTTGTATTAGCTAAGTTACTGCGCAAGTTTAACTTAACTTTCCTAGAATACAAGCCCTCTACCCCTTATTAAATAATCTAAAGCATAGTGCCTAAAAAACCCTAGCAATCCTAGATAACTTACCTAAGATATAATAGTAAGGAGCTTTAGCACTAATAATTAGGCTATTTAAGACCTAAGGCGCTTAAAGCTCTAGTTAAGTTAGCTATAAACGTTAGGATTAAAGGAACTCCTAGGAGCAAATACAAGCACTGCGCTATTATATATGCCTAACAGGTTATATTAAGATAACTAAGGGAAAGATTACTACGTCTATACTACTAGGTATTATAGGATCTATTTAATATGCTAACAGGTATAGCTTATAAGCAATAGATCTTAGTATTAAAGTGCGACTACTTAGGAAAGCTTTATACCTATCTACTATAAGCTAAAAACCTTAATAAGATTATATAGGTGTTTAAAAATTTTAAGAGCTTAATACTTAACTAATATAAGCTTAGTATAGTTAAGATTATGCAAGATAATAATATTATAATACTCCCTTAGCGTGGCAAATCTTACTTTTAGATCTAGGTAGCTAATAATAGTATTAAAATTAAGAGCTTACCTGTATATACCTATAAACCTAATAGAGGAGTAGAAAGAGTAGGGTAGGAGATTATAACAAAATTAATTAAAATAAGGATTAGTGCTAACCTACTAATAAAGCTCTAGCCTAAAATTATTAAAGCAGCAACTTAGCTCTATAATATAAGCCTATCCTATACTTATAATATAATATTACCTAATAAAGTGCTAGATTATTAGTTTACTAGATACTTTAGGTAGTAGCAACTAGAGCAGATAAGGGAGGCAACTACTAATCTCTGCCCTAATTAGAGCGGAATATACACCTATAGCTGTTAAGCTTACCCCCTTAATAGAGATTAAGTAGCTAGGCATTATAAGAGGGTTTTTAAGGTAAACCCTTAGGGTTATATTAGATATCTAGTAGGATATAGAGCATCTAATATATATAGGATATAGATCCCCTTGCTTAATTAAATTATTACAACGCGGAACGTTACCTTTAATAAGGATCTTTTCTACAAAGAGAAAGATCTAGAGTAGCTTTAATAGTTAGAGGCTTAAAAGATAGTTAATGTTATTAGCAAAGATAAGATCTGCAATGCAGGAGAAGCATATAAAGAGCTTAATATCTTTAATTAGCTTTATATTGCGGTAGAGTAATATAAGGAGTCTAGTAAGTAAGGAGGACTAAACTTAGCGCAGGAGCTAGGGGGTAGGGTAGAGCTAGAGGAGGTAGATAATTAGGCTAGCTAGCCTAGTAATTCACAACCCCCTAAGCAGACACCTCTAGCGTGGGTACTAAGTATAGCTAGCTTAGCACAAAGGATCTATATAAAGTCCCCTAAGCTAATAGGGCTCTAAACTCCTAAACTAATACTAGAACTAAACTTTAGTATAGGAGATAAAGGATCTATATAGGTTATAGATTAGGGTTATACTACCTAAGATAGTAGTAATCTAACTTACTTTAACGCTATAATAGGTAGCTTCTAGGAAAGACCTAGAGGGGAGAGTGCTATTAGTAGGTTACTCTATAAGAGTACAGAGATAAGTAAGGGCACCCTATCTAGCTCTTATAGGGGTAGTAAGTAGAGCTCCTACCTACCTACTTTAGGACTAGATTCTATATCTCCTGCAGATCCCTTATAAGCGGCACCTAGAGCTTCTAGAAGAAGCAGAAAACTATAAGTTAAAGGACTGCTACTAACATATGTTAGTAAGCAAGCTTAGGGACAGGACCCTAATAAACTACTAGGAGGCTCTATAAGTATAGGGATATATATAGTAATAGATCTATTAGATATAGATCTAATTAGAAATCCCTTATATAATCTTTTAGTATATCCTAAACTAAACGCTATAATCCACGCTATAATTATAGTAGTAATAGGGAGCAAATCTCCTAAAAACCCTAAAAGGAATACGCACTAGGACGCTCTATAAAAAGAGCTAAAATAATAGAAGGATCTCTATAACTACTAAATAGGATAGCAATTTAGAGACGCAGTATATAAAGAAATTAATACTCTACTAAAAGCTAGTACCTAGGAGGAGATTAATAGGCTAACTAAAGGAGAGTGTCTACTCCTACTTAAATAGGTGTTTATATACAAGCTTAATTAGGATAGTTACCTAATTAAGTGTAAAGCAAGGATAGTAGTAAGAGGAGATCTATAGCTTACTAACTTAATTTATTTAACCTACGCAGCTACCCTAGCAGCTTAAACCTTTAGGACTATAATAGCTATTAGAGCTAAGTTTAACCTTAAGATATATTAATATAATATTATTAGAGCTTTCCTTAACGCCTTAAGGGATTAACACCCTATAGTTATCTATAAGCTACCTAAAGGATATTAAATACCTAGGAAGTGCGTTAAGCTTAAACAAGCTCTA